GATAAGTGAGTTTGGCACAATGCTGTCTACCTCTAACTGCCACACCAGCACTTGCATTACCAGCTAAATTTACTTAAATTACTTCATTTTAGAGTGGAGAATTTATGTGTATGTATGGAAATCTGAGCAAAGATCTTGTCTATGGATATGACGGGAATTCAGCATAGTAAGGCAGGATATGAACATCTCGAATTAAGACAGGTAGTGAAAACAAAGGCATTTCTATAAACATCTTCCTATATTGGGCATCTCTAGTGGCAACAATTTTAAAGCCAGTCCCTGAAAAACGTGAGAAAAATTGAACATGCCAGGTCTAAAAAGAGAAAATGTTAACTGCTTCTTGTCTCTCAGTTGCTTGCTTTATTCTTACTGTGCATTTCCAAGTCATTGAGACCTTGTGGCCCATAAGCTCTACCTGAAGTTCCCTAACATAGATTCGCAATATATAATATTTGAAAATATATAGTACTTAATAATATCAAGTTCTATTATTATTATTATACAATGTATTTCCTGAGATTCAAAAATGAGAGATCATCAATTATTTGAAAGAATCCATAAATCATTTACAGAACCCGTTCTGGTGTGGCTCTCTTCTAATTTGTACTGCAGGGATTGTCTATTTACAATGACTGATTATCCTTTGGGTGAAAAAAAATCAAAGTTTCTCATGTAGCAGATGACTACAATTAACACCAGGTGACAGGATAAATCAGCATTTCTCTCTGGACCAATTAAGGATTATTTATTGATGTTTGGATAGTTTCAGTGGAGCTGAGAGACTGGCTCTGCTCCAAATCTCCCAGAGTGAGAATTTAACCATACTTTACCTAGAAACCAGAAACTGTATTATTTGCTATACTGCATGTTTGAGAGAGACAGTGCTTTTAATTTTGATGAGAAAAAGATCTAGACTGAATATAAAATGCCTTTCCTCAGGAAAAGGGAATTGGTTTGCTTCCACGAATTACTTTGTTTTCAATTAATCAATATTTTTTCATCAGTAATCTTACACTAGCCTTGTTGACTTCCTTCATCAGCAGGTATCTTGGCAGATAGAGAGAATATGGATGCAAAGAAAGTTCAGCCCTCAGATCAAAACCTCATGAAGATGAAATGTGACACTACCCACAACTCCCCAGCGGGAAAGAAGTCATGAGACACATATCACTCAGGTTGCCCAGTTCATGGTAAGTGCTCCTCTACTCAAAATATGAGATCAAAAAAGCATGGCAATAAACAAATACAGGCTGCTGAATTCTTTAGCAGACACTAGGCAGAAATTTCAACAACTGCCTTGTACAAAACTAGCAGATTTCTTTTGACTAGAAGACACACAGCTTCTAGAAAGAGAAGACCAGAATCCGATGTTTTTACTTATAGCAAAAGGTACCTTACTCAGCAGCAAGGGAGTCAGATATGTGAAAGAATAAGTCCCATAGATGATATTCAAAATACATTATTTTTCCTCTGCATTTCTAAAAACTGTACTGCCAGAACTGTCAAACATGAAGATATGCCACTAAATATTAGTCTTAAAAACCTACACAATTTGTAACCAATTTAGCCTCTGTTCACTGCACATAATTATGGCTGCTGAAATCATTTGAGGAAATTTTGATTTCCCGTCTTAATACTACTACTGCCGTCAGAGTATTTTCTGGAGTGAAGTGGACAGCATGTTCCTGGGATGAGTTCAAGTCGGGCTGGCAGAAGACCCCTTCAGCATGGAACTTACTCCTGCTGGCACTTGGGTTTGCTAGGATTTGTAATGATATGCGATGTGAGATGTGTCTCTTTGGTCAAAGATATTCTTAATTACAGAACATCGCTGGGTTATTTAGAGTTCAAATTATACTACAAGGAAGCTGTATACATTGTTTATCATAAGCAGCAGATCTACTGTTGGTCTGTATTTAAACCCTATAATGTGTCTAAATACCAAGGTGACAGACACAGTGTATCATTACATAAATATATTGAACTAATTCAAATTAAGGGTTCAGCAGATCTTGTAACACAATAGATATGGTTTTGTTTATAAAGGTTTGTCAAAAGTGCCATATGACGGTTCATTACTACTCCAATTAATGAAAAATGGATCCAGTAATACGCAACAGCCACTGCTATCACTTAATGGTCTGAAACGAGGTTTGCCAGCCATGAAGTTCAAGAGCCTGATTACAGATAATGGACTTAAGCTTCCTGTTGGGAATTTGTTCATTCTGCAGCCTCAACAGAATTTGAACTTGTGACATTTCCATCGTACTGCAGCTTGACTAGAGGTAAAACAGAAGCCATTGTGGGAAACTGCTAATGGACTAACTGAAACACATTAAATCTTTCACTGGGCTGGACCGCCAGGAAATCTAGTTGCCCTGGAAAAATGTTATATTACTAGAAGGGGGTCAAATTTAAGGTGAAAAAAAATTTGAATTAGGAGCTTCAACCCCCATATTTAAATCTAGAAGTCACATAAAGCTTAGGTACTATAATTCACTGCTTCCAGCATTCTAAGGGAAGCATGCTCATGTGCTCTTCATTTGCCCTTGCTGGGCTTCCACATGTAGAAGTCCCAAAGTCTCTTACAGGGACAGCGGAAAGAAGTTCCTCTGAAGTCTATCAGACTTAAGACACGCAGGTGAGACTGGCAGGATCTCACTCTTTTTACCCACACCTTGTTATTTGTTATTCCTCATTATTTTTATAATGTGCCACTGCATGGGAGCCACCCTCACAGACCGAGGGCTCATTGTGATAGTAAAACCTCTCATACGCACAGAAAAGTGACCGGAAGTTAGTTTAATTTAGTTAGGTCACCTGCAACCACGAAGGAGGCCCATCGCCAGAGAAAGAACAACAGACCTCATTTATTTCAGTGTCCCTGAATGACCCGACAGTAAGGGGTTGCCATACTTTCTTTCTCATTAGCAGATATGTCCTCTTTTACTTTGGGGTTCTTCAGTGAGCATGGCTCCTCTTAAGGCACAGGCAGACACAGAGTTCTTCCTGGGCCTTTGTATCCCTGTCTCCTGAAGGCAGCAGTCAGGAGATGAGGTGCCTGGATTGCTACTCTTCTGCACAGTATAACACAGCAATATTTCTCTGTAGTGCTGACTGCCAAGCTTGACTGATGCACCTGAGAGATTTAGGATTTGCAGAACTACATCTTTAACTATCTGGGAGGGTATCTTGGTATGCCCTTTACATTATGTATGCAAGCTCATATACGGTCAGAGAAAACAAGGGATGGCAAGTAACTCCTGACATGGAACAAAATATAAATCAAGGTTTAATACTATACTATTATTCCATTTTATACAGAAATAAGTCTACAAAGCTTTCAAATAATTTGATATCATTACTAACGTGATAGCACACAGCAGTGTTTGATGAACTGATTTGTTGGGTCAATGACATTGTAGGCACACTAACGTAAGCACAGAGCTTTGGCTCTCAATAAATTTTTTCTAGCGATTAGGTTATTAATGGAAAAAAAAATAAAGGCTGCCTGAATGTGACCCTTGGGGCAATCCTCAGATTTATTACTTCTAGCTTTTAGGTCATTCCCCTGTGTGATTTGTGTTTGATCACAAAAATAATCAGAGAACAGATCTGCTGGAGATATACAGCAAGTTTAATTAATAGTAAACAGACGAAGTTTTTTAAAATATTATTGTTTCACTGTAACAATAAGCAGAAAGAATAACTGAATGGATGAGTGAGTAAATGATTAAACAAATGCATGAAAAGTAGTAGGCCAAAATAGGCCATGTGATTTTTAGGAGACTTTAGCACTGAGTTCACAGAGTTCCCCCTGAAGTCATCCTTTCTCAGGGCTGAACAAGCCCAGGTCCCTCAGCCTCTCCTCACAGGGCAAATGCTCCAGCACTGATCATCTTGGTGGTCTTCACTGTACTCCTGTTTATTGATGTCTTTCATGTATGGTGTTGGAGGGGGCAAATGGGGATTAGATGTGGTCTAATAAGTGCCAAATAAAGGGAGATATAATGTGCCTTCATCTACATCTATAGCTAGTACATATAGCCTGTTACCCTTTCCTACTAGGGCACACTTTGTCATGACTTCAAAGCCAAGGTGTCAGGCAAACAGTTACTTTAAGTACAAAGAGCTGCAAAATTACTTGCTAAAGGTTCTTCCTCAAGTGATCAAATCAGAAAATCTGTTCACGGATGCTAAAGTCCAGAAATGGACAAAATATCAATCAGCAGGAGAGACACAGAAAAATTAATGCTACTTGTTTAGTTTCCAGAAGCTGCTTTAGTAGCTGCACAGTGTTTTGCAGAACAAAGTTCCTTTTTTCATCCATCGAACTAGCACAGGATGACTGCCACGAGCAAGAGATTGTTAGCTACTAGTTAGTTCTGCTCGCAAGTGATGGAGTTGCAAGGGGAACAGAGAAGATGCTTTTAAGGCTACAGGTTGCCTACATAAACATGCAACAAGAAGAGCATGTCAAATCCAGAGAAAGGAGGAAAAACCACAATTAAGTAAAGCAAACCCCAGCACTCACTGAGACCTGTGCCAGGATACCTGCTTCAACTATTTCACAAATAGTAGGAGGGTAGCTATGAGCTGTTTAAAGGAAAGGGTGCAAAATATTCATAAGTCACCCTATAGAACCAAAGTTTTGGACAAGAAAGAACCCTTCCATTCACTTTTACTGCAGATTAACACCTCAGACTGAAGCTAGCCAGTGACAGAAAACTTGCCAGTTCAATGGAGAAGGGAAAGGGAAGAGAAACAAAAGCTGAACTGAACAATCTGCTAGTGTTTCCTCACAACAGCATTTGGGAGAGCAGCAAACCGCCCTGAGATGTCAAATGCTTCTAGGAAGTTCAAACTGTTTACAGATTTATGTTTCTAGTAAGTTCTAAACAGAGTCTGATTCCAGTAGTTTTCATTCTGAAGCAAAGCAGAAGGGGGGGGTTAGGGGTATTTATTTTTATCTTAAAATAACCTAGAACTGGGACACTCACCTATTACACAGAATGGTTTCCTTGCAAAGCGCAGTCTTCCTTGCCATCCTCGGTATCGACAACAGCATCCAGCAGACCAGATACGAATAATAAATTCCAAACCAAAGACAACAATCATGACAAATTCCTAGAAAGGGCAAATAAGAAAAATGCCTGTTACAGATAACCAACACTGAAGCATCAAGAAACTTATGATCACCGTGTGTGTCCAGCAATCCACCTTAAGCATCTGAAGATAACAAGCCAACCTGGGATCCTGCTCCCCAGGATTTTTACACAGCTACACACAGAACACAGTTCCCAGAGCTTCCTAATGAATAGTCCGAGTCTAACCTCAGTAACATTAAGTATCTGCTAAAACTGGCTACTAAATATGAAACACTGAAGAACTAAGTCATGCAGAAAAAAAAATCAAAGCACAATACTTGGTGACTTTGGATAGAGAGGATCAGATCGCAGGTAATTTAAACAGGTAGTGAAGAATATGTTATATATCCACATCCATAAAATCAGTTCTTAGTTTGAAGGCTGTATGTGTTGGCAAATATATTCTTATTGTAGCAATATACAGGTGAAGTGATTGAGATGATGCAGAAGCATTTAGGAAATAACCTTTTTCCCCAGAAGAAAGTTAAAATACATGCAAGTGTCATTGCATACAATGGGTATGTAATTGCTTGTAAGATGGTAAATGAATGTTCACACTACGCCTGACTTTCCCTGGACAACTTGTGAATGGAAGCATTTAAAAGTCTCACCTTTCTTGTCTGGCTTGCATTTCTTTCACCCTGGAACCTTTTTTAAGACAGTTCATTTTAATAGCACCAACCTCTATTTATGCCATTTTTATTAGAAGAAATTTCTCAGTAAAACAGTGAGGTCAACAGAGTTGCCTCTTGTATTGCCTGTTGCAATACAGCTTGGAGCACAATTCAGCTCCATACCTTAAGGAAATCTGATTCCCTATAATATGCAGTGATTTTGTACATACACTCTGGTATGTAATTATAAACTTACATACTTTTCTGGAATGCCATTATAAAGTTATGGGGCTTGAAATCATAAAATAAAAATTTGTGTGTTCACCAAAAGAACAAGAAAAATACTTGAAGGAGTTTCTTAAACAGTTCATCAAGAAGATGAGGATGAAAGTTTTATTTTATTTGGCAGCTGTATGTATTTCCATGTCCAGGAGAAAGCTGTTCCTTGTCAGCCAATTAATTTGTTATTCCTGCAGGATGAGGACTAGTGAGGTACTGGTTAAGAAATCATTGCAAATGAATTAAATAGAGGAATATTTGCAAGGGCATGGTTGATCCAACATCGACTTTTCCCCAATAAACAGTTTGCATGTTTTTAGACTGTAAGACTCTACAACTCTACAAGCCAATAAGGCTGTAAATATCACATATGTCAACTCAGGCATTAATTTACCTGAAAAAATTACATTATTAATATTGTGTCATGTAATGGTGCTTTACTAGCTTATGAATAGTGGCAGTACACTGAAACACTGTGAATTTAATTTCCTTCGGTTGTCATAGAACAATTTGAAAACAAAGCATTCCTTCCTAAAACCTGTCGGCTTGTATAACTACATCACACTGAAACTGAAAGACATTTTAGAGCCTCCTTCAGTGCCTTCATTTCCAGCTTTGTAAATCCCATACTGAATGCCTAAATCACAAAAACAGGATGAGATCCCTCTGCTAAAACATGTCTAAAAAAATGACAGATTTTTTTGTCAGAAAGGAACACATGGAAAAATGAGTGTGATTGGTCAGGATTTCCTTTTTCTTCATTCTACTACAAGAAACTTCAGCTTAATTCCAAGGACAGAGTTATTGCACAATTTATGAAAGGATTATGTGCAAAATTGAAAAAATTCTCCGTATAGTAACAATAATTCTTAATAGTTGGCTATGATGTGGTACATTTCCTTGTAGGAAATTCTGTGTAGATGAAGAATAGACAAGAAGCCAACTGGAAAAAAAGAAGAATATGTATTTCAGTTATTTAACTACTTTTATAGTGGAAGTTAAATCACGGATTGTCAAATCTGGTTTACATGTTGTTTGGTGATGTCTCTGAATTTATGGGGGTGGATGGCAGGCACTCGGGTCATAACATCTGATTCTCCTGATAAAGTCTCTTCTTTGGTGCAGGGGTAAGAAATACTGAAGGAACAGAGGCCAGTGAAGCACAAAGCATTCTTCACTTCCAATAAAACCTTTTCCTTGTTAAAATCTAATCACATTTAATTTGACTGAAGTTTGTCATTTCCCTGGAAAACATATTATGTGTACAGATGTACGAAAAACACCTCCTACTTTGTAAGTACACTGGAATTGTCACAGGCATTTTACAAGAGCTGATCCACACACACAGGAGTGTGTTCTTTACCATACTCTAGACCCCAGTAGGGCCTCTGAAAGAATTGTGAAGAACAGAAAGTCCTTAATGATTCTGGCAGGACTAGTCTACAGCTTCAATTCAGCTAAATTAGCATCACAAAACTGCTGGTAGATGTTTAAAATAGGTAATTTTTATTTGGCAGTTTACTATTCTGTTTCCCATTAGTGCTGTGCAGTTTCGTATTCATCATCTGTACTACTTATGTACTTCATAGTGTAATTGTGTGTCAGAGGCAGAAATCCTATTTGTCGCTCACACACACAAATGCATAAACATGTACTGCAAAGAGAATCTTCTCAAAGACATATCTGTTCTGAGAGAGAAAAGAGCAAAAGGATGTGGGTTTTTTGCTGGTTTTGTTGGGTTTTTTTTTGATGGTGGGGTAATAGCATAATATTTTCTTGGAGAAACAATGTGAAATATCTCTGTTCATTCCCTGAGAAAAATAGTTACTATTTCTAGCAACATTATGAATTTATGCACGGTGATATTCTCTCATAATCAACTGCAGTTTCTGCTAAAAGTAAATTTTAACAACAGCTGCTGTAGTTATAGTAAGTGAGTTCAAATACATTAAAAATGGCTCTGTGCTAAAAGAATTGCTGAATTTAAAAGTACTATATATGATTTTCTTCCACACATACCACATTTCTGGAGGTTTTAAAATACAGTACAAGCTTTAATAACAGAAAAGAAATTGAACAAAGTGGAGATAGGGTTTCACACTTCTTATTGCACTTTCTGAAATAGCAGTATTTCAGAATGACCCTAATATCCTGGTCACTCCTACTTTCTCAAAGAACAACTGATTTTCGTACATATCGTCATTAATAAAGTCTAAAGGAAAAAGATTTTGCTAGAAAACATGAATGCATTGAAACAGAACTCTTTATAGTATGTGTGAGTGCATATATATATATCAGCATATATGAGAGGGATTTTTTTGTATTTTGAATCACTCCAGGTTGAAACCAGAGAGAAACAATATAATTCTATGATTGCATAATCCCACACCACTGTGAAAAAAATAATGTTTTAGTAATCAGTTCAGTCAGTCATAATGTAAAGTCAAATCTCTGTCAAGGTTACTGCAGGCCAGGGAATGACATTAGTTTTTCCTGTGGCAGCTGCACAGTTATGAGGTTCTTGGTTTTCCACAGACAAAAATTGGAAGGATGCATCCCAAAGAAGATCAGGATTTTTTTTTTCTTCTTTAGATTTCATTTTCAATGACTTATTAAAATATTAAGCATAAATCTAGGCTTTACAATAACTTGATTTTAGCTCCTTAGCAATTGAAACAGAAAATCAGAACATAATTAGAAAGGCATGTGACAGAATAAATCATTAGACCTCATATGTTTTGTAGGCTTGCTGTAGAAATGATGCATTCCAAGTATATCTGTTCTAAATATAATATGGAACCCCATTAATTTTGGATTACGTATGAAATATGAATAACAGCATTTACAACAGAATGGGAAAATTCTGCACTGTTTATAAATCTGGCCTCCTTCAAACTTTAGCAAGGCTGTACTTGAACCGATGAGTAAATTTTGGTTTGCTGGAAACCTAATCTTTCTGTTCCTAGGTAGAGCAGTAATGCCTTGGCCTTTGCCATTACTTCCCCTATCCCTCCCACCTTATCATCCTTTTCCAATCACAGCTGCCTCTGGCTTGCATCACAGTTACCAAAATCTGTAACTTTTTGATTATTTAAGCTCACAGATAGCCCCCACAGTACCTGGTATGGCAGATGCATTGGAGGCTTGGACAGTGCAAAGTCTTTCTTCCTTCTCAAAGTGCAGTTCATCAAGACTGATGAACTTTTCATTCTGAAATATTTCTATATATGCAGCTCCAGTTGTCATGGAACACTATGCATATGCAAGAGAAGCAAGGCTGAAACTCATGCGCTTAAAAGATTTAGTTGTTCTTGGCATAAGGAACGGGTGCTACTGTGCTCCTGAAGATTTTTTCACCTGCAAGTGCTTTGGTTGCTCTGCCACTGGAACAATGAGGGTCACAGAAATGGCAGGAAAAGAAAAAGATGCCATCCAGAGCAAGGTTTCTATTAAAAGAAGGACCTGGAGGACTCTAATGAACAACGTTGGTAATTAATTAAATCAAGCATACTTTGTACAATCCAGATACAACAAGCACTTTTTTTTTAAATTTAATTTAATCTAATTAGGATACAAGTGATGATTTGTTGACATTGTCTACATTAATATGCTTCTCAGGTAGTTTTTAATGATAAGGATTTCCCAAATCATAACACCAAAACCTTGGTTTTATCATAGCTTTCTTGTTCATTAACATAACTGCATATTAAAACTTTAAGTAATTTGCTGCTGCTGAAATCAGATGCCTTGGTTGTAGACTATCATTTCTGGGAATTAGAGCCTTTTTTTGAGATAAGAAAATGACCCAAGTCAAGCATTCTGTGCTGTTCTAGGATGCTCCTGGTTATTTTTCAGTGTGTAAATGAGCTTTTGGTTTGGATATAAGAAATCCGCCCACAAGAGAATGCTATTTTAATTATATTTCTTGCATGTAAATTGTGTTGTTAAGTATTCTAATGGCTAATGAAGTAGACCAATAGAAGCTGCAGACTGATGTGAGGAGCTGCCTGCCTTGAGCTCACAGGAGAACTGTGTCTACAAGTGACATTGTCAGAAGCCTGGGAAATGGACTAGAATTAATTCCCTG